GTAGAATACACAACTTAAACTTTTAGATAAGAGATTGTTGAGCACGTGTGCACATGCAAAGAGAGAAAGATTGCGAGTAAGTTATATATGGATAGACGTGGCGTTGAACACCTCGTTTAAAAAATTTAGGCCACAAAGAGGGCACTAGGGGCCATGACGAACATGACAAAACCCTAAATAAGATTTGAGGGTTAGCTCCTCCGACAGCTTCTTGAATATTCTTTGACATTAATATAAGGATCATGCTATATGTATATCAATTTTTACGTAAGGGATTACATAATATTACATGACAGTCAATCATTTGTCAATTTAAAATATAATCAATTTTTTAATTCAATATTTTCCCTCCATATCATTTTCAGTAACCGTTCATATACAATTTGTATGTACAAGTAGCAAAATTCTTAATATAATAGGAAAGCTCAAATAGAAGAATATTTTGTAGGAATTCTAATCATTTTCTTCAAAATATAATCCCATGTATATTAATTAAGGCATGAAAAGGGCATCATGTGTGAGATGCTTATTCTATATGTAGTATATATACTGTTCTATAATATACCAGGTAAAATTCTTAGAGAAACCAAATCAAGACATGATCCTTTATTAAGATTCTAGGGTTCCAAACACTTCCTTATTGTTAATCTGTCCTCAGGTGATCATTTCTAAATATTAGGATGCAAAATCATCAAATATTCAGAAAGAAAACCTGAAGAAGTGGGAAAAAAAAAAGCTCAATTGTTATGAGAAGGGTGTGTTTGGGGTGGTAAATAATCCAAGTTATTCACTGGTTCTTCCTCTCCCTGTTTCTTGTGAGGCAACCTCCAAGAAACAGAAACTGCAGGCTTACTTCTTCTTTCGGTAGACTCTTTCTGCTAGGAGCTTCAACTGGCTTTGCAGGGCTCATCTTATCATCTTCATGGTTCTTGCTTTCGGTTTTTGTAGTTTCTGAAGCTTTATTATCTGGTTGTATAGAAACCCTAACAAGACTCTGCGCCTCATTATTCTGCACAAACGAGAATTAGGATGAGTTTCTATGTTTAGTATGCTCGAGTGGATTAAATGATTAGCTCGTTAATTGAATTACAAACCTTGCTAGATAAGTGAAATCCTTCAACAGGTTCCTTGTTGAACACCCCAAAGTCTCGAGCTGTACATCCATGGAAAGGAAAGAACAAAAGTGAAAGAACAAGAACAAGAGATTGTATAGTCGACATCTGAAGCAAGAAATATCAGTAAAATGCAACACAAAGATGAGAAATTTGTTTGATTCACAGTGTAAGATATCGGTATATATATATATATACTGATAATTCGATGCTGGTGTGGTATATATTTGTACCAGAAAAACAAAGGGATGAGCATTAAATGTGGAATTTGTAGGGGTTAAGGGTATGTTTTACAGAACATGCAAATGTATGGGGTGATGAGAAGTAAGATGGAAAATGACAAAATGTAGATATGGATGGCCTCTTGTGTGTCCCTTTCAATTGGGACCCAAGACATAAACCCCCCGACGTGGAAAAAGAATTGCACACGACACCCTCTTTTATTTACTTATAGTAGGATGAATATAACAAAGAGTATTTCTCCAAAATAGAGATATTCTCTTTATCTTTTATCTTTTTTAATTTTACATTGTTGAAGACAAGCTTTCCGATAACATGATTAACATAATATTTGACACAAAAGATAGGATGATTAACATGTTATATGTCTCAAACTTAATGTTGGTTCAACTTTCATTGTCACATATTAATAAAAAAGTTGTGCACGTATCAACCTTTTAATTTTGAACTAAATTTGGTCTACACAAGACGAGACATTGAAAATAAGATTTAAATGAGTATGTGTGGTCCAACTCTAACAACATTTTGTAAAAGAGATGGTTAACACGGTATCTAACACAAACTTAAAAGTTTCAAATTTTACTGTCACCTATTTGTAAAAAAGTTTTAAACATAGCCTTTTCACTGAGAGATGAATTAGGCCATGAGACGTGAAATTTTAAAGATTGTGCGTGGTCCAACTCTATTAACTCTTTTCATTTTTGTAAATGTGATGGTTTCCACGGTATCTTATTCAAACTTAAGATTAATTTCAAGTCTTGCGATCATCTATTTATAAAAAAGAGTGTTAGTCTTTTGATCGAGAAATGAATTAGGTTTGCACGTGATGAAACTTGTCGAAAACAATATTTTAAAATTTACGTGTGCTCCAACTCTAACAAATTTTTTTTTCTTTTCTTTTTTGTAGATGAGAAGGTTAACACGGTGTTTAACCCAAAATTAACAATACTTTCAAGTCTCAGTGTCACGTACTTACAAAAAAGTTGTGCATCTTGCAGCTTTTTGATCAAATTAATTAGGTTTACACGTTATGCGATAGGTGGTCCATCTTTAACAACATTTTTTTTCTAAATGAGATGATTAACATGACATCTAATTCATTAGTTTCAAGTCTTACCGTAACCTATCCACGATAAAGTTGTGCACGCCTTTGAGCCATGCTGAAAACAAGATTTAAATGAGTACGTGTGATATATCTCTAACAACTCTTTGTAAGTGAGATTATTAACATGGTATCTTACTCAAACTCAAGATCAATTTAGAATTTTGCCATCACCAATTATATATATATATATATAATGCATATATCAGCCTTTTGATCAAGAAATGAATTGGGAATTGTTGTGATGGACATGTGAAAAAAAAGATTCAAACCAGTAAGTGTAGTTCAAATCTCTTGTAAAATCTAAAGAACAAGCCAATATTTGAATGTTTTTCTTTTTTCTAATATGTTTTGTAGAATAAAACCACACCACACATAAATATATTTGAAAAGAGAAGACATTACACATGTTTGCATGGCCTAACGTTCGTTGTAACTCATCAAGGGACAGTGCCATAACCACCAATAACGGTCGCTGGCCTCCAAAAACTTGTCCTGTCGAATTCTTTTATTTATTTATTTATTTTCATTTGTTTCTTCTAATATTTAGATTTGTTTATGAATTTAAGAAAATAATGTGTGTACATTGGTCGTATCATATTTAGCCATCTTTAGCCTGGTTAAAATTCATTTTTCAGTAGATTTTGAGAAGAAAATAAAATGAAATGGGTAGTTGAAAAATTAATAAAATTTGTGAATTTCATTAAATGTGTGATTAAAAATAAATTTGAGGAAAAATAAGTTTTAAAAAGATTGGGGCCAAACATGGATTGAATACATAATTGAGTAGACAAGATTTTATTTCTTCTTCTGTTATTCTATTATAATTGATCTCGACCGAGTATAATCTAGATTTCTAAAATTAAGTTTTTAATTTATAATCATATCAATTTTGGATTAATTCCAATTTCTTCGATCAATATACCCCTACGTGTTAATTTTCAAAACCTGTAAAACATTTGGGTAGTTATATTAACATCACAATTATTGCTAGTTATACTGTATTTTAATTGCAAGTGAAGTTCCTCATTTTTGCATTTATGTCCGTTATTTTTTATCGTATTTTTATCCTCAAATTTTTATTAATTAATACATTTTGTTTCTCATGACGGGCAAAATATTGTTATGAGATTAATTAAGCCCCTGTTTGATATGAATTAAAATCAAATTTTTAGTATATTTTGATAACAGTTGATAAAATGTGTAACTAAAAAGTTGTGGTTAAAATTAATTGTTAACTTGGATTTAGATTAAAATTTTAATTTTAATTTCTACCAAACAATGGCTAAATATTTAACCACTTAATGTGCAACTAGCTAGGCACGAGTGTTTTTCATTTTTTTTTAAATTATTTTTTTCCTAGTCACGTGAGGAGTATTATTTTGTATCAAACGATACGGAAAACGAATTAGATGAAAAAGAGGATATTGAATTGAATTTCGATAAAGAGTTAAATAATATTTAATTTACGGTGTTATCTACATTATATAATTATGATTTTGAAACTTATCATTTTGTTGAGAAATTCGAAAGTATATATAAAGTTTCTATAAAACTATTAAGGGCCTGTTCGGTACAGCTTAAAATCCAATTAAAATTGAAAATATGACTGTTATTGGGTCAAACTCATCTAATAAAAGTCAACAATACGGCTAATTTTTCAATTTTAATCCAATTTTAATCTCTACCGAACATGCCCTAAGTATGACTTGTTTAGTTCAAAATTGAAACTATGAAAAATAGTTTAATTTTTGCATTTCAAAAATTCAAAAATTGTATAATTGACTAATTGTAAGATTTATTATAAGTAAATAGGGATTTTATAATTTTAGATGTTTGATAAGTATTATTTTAATTATTAAATACTTTTGAAATGATTAAAAATTAAAATAATATTAAAAATAAGAAAACACATTTTTACGCATAGGCTTTGTCTCGGCTCACAAAGTTTGAACATTGACTTTACACCTATCTACATTTTACACTGTTTAAAACATTGCCCAAATATAAACAAATTGTCAAATTCAACAAGGGTTTTTTTTATTATCACTACAATTTTTATTTAATATAATACATTTTAATTGCAATTAAACTCCTTAATATCTACTCATCGTGGCAATTATTTTATTAACTTTTTTCCCCTCAAATTCTTTTATTCAACCTTTCATAATTAATACGCCTCTTCATTAATGATGATTTATATCAAAATATTTTATTTTCATACTTTAAAATGAGAAAAAAAATATTTTTTTTTGCTCTTTTTATTTCTTTATTTTTTAAAAAATGATAAAAAATAAGTGATTTTACGTCATTTCACAGATATTTGGACATAGAATTATTATCAAATACAAAATGTGATAGCTATGAACAAATTATTATAAAATTTGCGTAAGAAATAAAAATTTTGGCGTAAATGAAAGATAATAGAAAGACAAAATTGCCACTATTGCCCTACAAAATTCCCGCGTTTCAGTATCCACCATCTCCAAAAACCCCTTCAGCAAATCCACAATTTTGTAAAGAAATCAAATACAGGGTCAAGAGAAATGCTCAAATCTGAATTCTCAGACTCAGAATCACAAGAGAATGACTCGTCAGGTGAAGAATCTGAAAAAGAAACCCCAAGAAGCGAAGAAAAAGCATCCGATTATGAGTTGCAGAGGTTGAAGAGGATTGAGGAGAACAAGAACAGAATGGAGGCCTTGGGTTTGCATAAAATTGCAAATTCATTCATGGGTTCTGTCCAGAAATCCCATAAAAAGAAGAGTGAGAAAAAGGGCAAACGCAAAATGGTCGATGAAGATGAAGAATATAAGCCAAGCGAGATTGAAGAGGAAATGTGTTCTTCAAGTGAAGAGGAGAGGAGTGATGACGAGATGTTTTCTGGCTCTCAAAAGGGAAAAGTAATCTCCTTTTTGTCTTTTTTCTCGTACACTTACAAAAAGATATTATTAGCATTTTTTATGTCAAGATTGAGGCACAAATTCAACTTGGTGAAATTATAATGCTTTGATTATTTAATGGTATATATGTGGATCTTGTTTTATCTTATTATTTAATTGTATTATGTTGCATCTGTAGAAGTTACATTGCTGCAAATGTGAGTTAGATGACCTTGTTTTTGAAGATAAATTATAAACATCATCTACTGTATGAAGTGCAAAGCGTTCGGCCTTGGGGTTTTTTATAGAAATTTTTGCATTCTGTGAAACTCTGAAAATTTTAGAAAATCTAAGATACTACGAAGAGGATTTCACGAAATTTTGGGCTCTCTCTCCTTCCATGACCCTAAATAAGTTCACATTCACAGCTTACATTTTGCCACTATTAATTTTATTTTATTTTTCTTATTTGCTGTTAGGATGATTTGACTTGACTAGGCGAGTCAAGACTGCAGGATGGGTTTATTAGGTTTCCATACCATTAATGAATGTGACATTGGTAAGTTTAAGTAGAGATTTGGTTGCTAGGGCTGCATTTAGCTGGAAAGAAACTAGGAGATGAAAAGATAATTGATTTTATTTAATGAATCTGTTGTATTACATTTAAAAGGAGGAAAGAAACAGCACTACCCAATTTACTGTATAATATATGTCAAACTATTAGCAAACGAATTTTTTGCCACCTGAACAACTAAACAGAATTTGCAAATTCTATTTATGTAAGTGTAGACTTTACAAAGTGATATGCCTGTCATTGAAAATAGCTAGTTTCTAACAATGTAGATAATAGAAAATGCAGAATCTTCTGCAAAATGCATTATTTGATGGCCATAATGTATCAAAAGGCTGCAGATGAGACATTATGTCATGCCTTCTCATGAACATGCTATCTACTGTAGAAAAAATGCCTTTTGTGTGCTTTATTTCTAGATGCTTGTTACACATGGGGACAAGTGACAACATGAATGGTCCTAATCTCAAGGTTATTTTGAGTCAAATATATCAACGACATTTCGCAGGGTAAAAATGTGGTTATATTGAGTCGGAATATGTTAACAATATGCAATCTCAACAATTGAAAATGCTCAAGAATTTACTGCCTCCAGTTTGGTGTTTGTCATGGCTTCTTTTAGTAATGGCTTATATACGTTACCAGTACCAGTCTGATTTTCACTGTGGGCATCATCGATGGGATGAGATGGATTGCTGGGTGTTGGATTCTTATCATTTTACTTGAATATCTTATTCCAGGCAAAGAAAAACACTACTCCGAAGACGCAAGTACCCAACTCAGATATTCTGGATGATGATGATGCCCTGATGCAGGTTTATTATTCAGCAATAATATTTGATTGATGGCTGTGTAGATTACAATTTACACGAGTATCAGACAAATTTTGCATGTTAGCTTTTATTATCAAATGCTTTATCATTAGCTTTCTGTGCAGGCAATTGCTCTATCCCTGAAAGATTCAGCAGGGTTTTTGGATGTGCCAACCAGTGCGCCTTCTCAAAGTTCTGGAGCACATGCAATAGATGGAATAGGTAATCAAAAAGAAAGAAATCCCAACATTCAAGAAGATGTTGAAAAGAGGAAGAGGAAAAAAATGGTTCGTGTTGCCCAGGATTTGTGATTTTATTTAACATTCTCTTCCTCACTCTTACAATTTTTTAATCCACTCAGGGAAAGCAGATAAATAGCCGAGTGCAAATGACTCTAGATGAAATGGTTATACACTTCTTTCACTTCGATGGTAATGACTAATGAGAAGTTTACTTGTGTGACTTTTGCATGTTCCTAAATAGATTACTTTGTACTTCTAATAAAGCACAAGACTAGATTGGCTGAATATAAATTACATGATATGGAAACGTGTACCAGCTTATCACCTGTTGTGGTGTCAATGTTGATTTGCCATTGCCCTACCTAAGTTCAATTTGCTAGTCAAATGCAACTTAGGAAGATGGCTTTATGCATTTCTGTAGTTTCTATACCTTTCCAAAAAGTTAGTGGTCCTCGGTGAAGACAGCCAAGTTTTGCAAATTTGATAATAGACTTATTAAAACACCCATAAATGATCACAAGGTTGTTTTAATTTGTTATATTGTGATGTCTGACCATCGATGAGTTCAAATATTGCATTGCAGAAGTAGGCAAAGGGAACATAACTCTCAGAGATATACAGAGAGTAGCTACAGCACATGATTTCACTTGGTCAGAGAAGGAGATTTCAGACATGATATACTGCTTTGATAGTGATGGAGATGGGAAGGTTAGTACTACTGACCCATTTATACTTTTTCTGCCACGTTGTATGGTTGGATTATGAAGTAAAAATTTAGGGTCTAAAGATTACCTCTGAATGATGTTGTGTCAGCTAATAAATTCACTTATAATGTTTTTGCTGCTCGTTCGCATATTGACCTAAGTAAACGATTTGAGATTGTAATATAATGTGTGATTGAAGCACTGAAAACATTTTTGGTAAATGATTGAGGATCGAAAAAATGTTTGTAGAGCCGAGCACTTTGATAGTTTAACAACAAATGTATTCCTGTCCTTTGTAATTTTGTTGTCATTTTTCTGTTCTCTTCTATCTTTTTGTATGAATATGCTGAAGGAGTATGGTGTGACCTCAAACATCTTGCATAGGAAGTCATGACATTTTGTCGATAAATCAATGCAAAGAGTTTCTCTGAATTTTTGTATAAGATGCGCAAAGGTTTAAGAATGGGATGAATTTGCTGCATCAGACCATCCAAAATCTTAATACTACTTCTCAATTGATGAGAATGTTACATTTTTGCTCAATTACGCGTTAGCATGAGCAATTTGCATTCTGGCGACATTTTAGTTCTATATATACACGAGTTATCTATTTCTCCAACAATCATGCTTGGCGTACACTTTAGTGTACATCATGGTTTACACTTTCCCACATAGCAAAGTGTCATTTGGTAGTTTAAAAAAATAAAATTTTTCATCCATTCATTTTTTTACAAGACAAATGTGAACAATGATGTCAACCTTGGAATGTACAAATTACAAAATCCTTTCTCCTTTCTCCAAACTCTAGACTCATTTATCATTTATATTCATTTGCTAGAATTTCCCTTTTTGGAGTATAAGATTCTGTCCATGTTTAATCACAATAATTGCAAGTCATTTAGATGGTTTCCATGTCTCATAATATTCGCTAGTTAACATGTGTTTTTCATTTTATTTCTCTTTAATTTGTTCTTAACGTGTAAATGTATTTTCAGCTAAACCTTGATGATTTTCGAAAGATTGTTGGTCGATGCAACATGATAAAAGATTCGGACAATGGTGCAAGGGTTAAGGCATGACAAGACAATGTGATACATTCCTGGTATGATATCTAGCAGCTGATGTTTTGATATGTTGCATCGAGCTTCTAATTGTCATTGCTAAGCCCATAAAAGAAATATAAAAGAAAGACATGGAAAAATGGGATGGAAATTGACGATTTAAATAAATTCCAGATTCTTAGATAAACATAAAACTTCTTCTAGTTTGAATAAGTGCACTTGAGATAGTTACTCTTTTAAATCTAAATGCATTCAATACTTTCTTACATCTCCACTGATCCTGGCCTGCTTCTATTCAAGACAAACTATGCTTTATCTGTTTTCGATAACATAGATAGGTAATGTTTTCTTCGTACGCTGAATAGTACATTGAACACAATTTTATCTTCTTGTAAGTAACTATAAAGTTTGTCATACCAAACGAGTCCTTATTCTGTTGTTTTGAGTGATGCCTTCATACTTTTGTCTCATTGGTTGACAGATTATTTATTTTTGGGTTCATGCAGCCTAACTTGTCGCCCAGTTGCCACATTACAAGGCGCTCTATAGCAATCAAGCTGCAAGCCTTGTGACTTAAATCTTGAAGCCAAGGAAAGGATCGTGAAGAACTCTCTATCATTCACGTTAACTATTGGATTGTTGTATAACTTTGCATTTGGTCTGGATTAATCTGTCAGTTTGAGCCTATTTGTCCTGTGTTAATGTCTTTCCCTTGAAACATGCAGCAAATCAAATAGTTTATATCGTTGATGACCCAACTAGGCTAGGATGGAAACCTAGTTCTTGTAATTCTTTAAATTAATGCTCATATGGTACCATTGGTGGTTAGAAACCATTCTAGGTTGCAGGGGAGCCCACCTAGGCTTGTCGAGTAAACTTGAATGTATTTTTAATTTGTTAGAGAAGTTTAGATGGATTTTATTGCCACCTAAAATGGTGCTAGTTAGCATTATTTCAATTCTTTATATCAAGGATCATCTAATGAGCTAGCCTCGCACCTTTGGGGTGGGGTGGTCCAGTGCCTGCTGGGCTCCATAAGTTCCTGATTAAGGTGAATGAAGGTAGCTTTCCAATAAGTTGTGGCTATTTTCTTGCTGAAACAATGCAGGTCAGATTAACATAGTTTTTGTCTTGGGACATTTCACTAGTGTCACCCGAATGCTTGTGGGACCACTTGAAATACTTAGTATCGTGATTACGATGTTCAATTGAACAAGCACGAGGCAGAATAAGAAAGATTCAGATCCATAGTAGACATGTCAAACAGCCGTATAAGTATTAGCTTCATTTTAAACATATAAATTTACACGATGAAAAACTCTGGATGTTTATTAAGAACTGCCCATTACTCGCATGCACCAAACATTTCCATATCCCCATCTAGTGCTTAAATGCGATGTGTTGCATCGATGCAGATTCAACTCTACGAGAATTAATACCAAGAACTGAGAAGACAAACACAAAACCTGAGACATAGCATTCAGCAAGAATAAAGTCTTAAAAGTATACATTTCGCGACAATTATCGGATGCTAAATTGATTTATCTTCTCACGTGGTCATCTACACTATTTTGGGGAACTAGAGCTTTAAAAAGCTGATGTTATCCTAAACACTTGGAAATATAGCACCCAGATAAATACAGAAAAAGCTAAGAAAGCAAAATTCCACGAGATAATAATATATATCTTCTTTAAGTTACAGAAGCATGTTAAAAGCAATTAATCACAAAATGAATGCTTTTGGAGCCTTCACAGAGCCCCATTAAAAACCTAGTTCTTAAAAAGTTTTAAAAAAGCTAAAATAGAACACACAGCTCTTCCCAACCAGTCACACATATGTCCTCGATGTCCTACACTTTTTTAACACCCGGAGCAAGAAATATAACAGAAATGCAGACCAAGATCCATTGATCATGTTCTCTTCAAAAGATATCCCAACAGGATGCCAACCAAGCCAACAATAATAACATACAAAAATGGGATATCACCTCGGTTTCTGCTACTTCCCCGCCTCAAGATCTCCTGCATAAGATAAGCTCATGAATAATTGAATGATGATTAAGTTCTGTCATAGTGTCAGCATTTTCTAGGATTCCATTAAAGAATATAAACAGGTTATTCTTTGATGGCATCAACCCAACCTTCCATTATGGAAAGTTGGGGATTCAACCATCAAATGTAGTATTTGGGTGACTGATGGAGCTTGGTGGTGAGAGAACAACCCTCAACCAACCATACCCTGCTCCACACGAAGGAAGGACAAAGGAGAATAAGTGGGATCAAATAACGAATGAATACATGTGGGAGGTTGGAAGTGCAGACTTTGTTTACAACCATTACATCTGTACAGTTATCATACTTGAAATGACAACACAAAGCAGGCCAACTCCTCTACTTAAAGCTAAATTTCCAGAAATTTAGAAGCCATGTTACATAAAAAATTAGCCTTTTCAATTTCAGCTTCTAAGTTAAACTAATATGGCATGAAACATTGCCTCCCCTGAGCGCGAGCCATCTGATGCTTTAACAACCCTCTTGGACGGAAACATCTAAAGGGACCAACTTGCTACAAAAATTGAGGGTTGGGGCCCCATTTGCCAAGAAACAATAGGGATACATATTTACGAATAGCTTTCAGACCCTAGAGGCAATTTTACATTTTCTAAATATCATTGTGGAGACAATAGAAGGCAATCACAAAATAGGCTTACCAGTTCTTGTTGAAGTTTGTTATTTTGCTGAATAACAGAAACTTTATCATCGGTCAGATTAGAAATGAGAGCCATAACCTGCATTTGAAATAAAAACCGATGCTCATCACATGGCAGCAACCTCTACATAAACAATCTTTTATACAAAAGAGCCCCAGGACTCACCAAAAAGTATGGGTAGAACGACTAATTATACCCGGGTTAAAAACTCAACAGTATGCAAAGAACCATTAAATTTAACCGAACCCAGAAACGAACAAATTAACCGACACAAACATTGTTTTAGATACAATCTGAAAGGCATCTCAATTTATGCAGACCACCTGAAAATGTTTTGTACTGAATTTAGTATATCATAACTATTTAGAAAAAATCTCTCCTGTTTAATTCACTTTTATTGAGATTTTCATCAAGAAAAAGAAAGAATGATATAAGAATTTTAGCACATCAGGCATCATATAGAACCAAACCAGCTAGTCAAAGGAGTTTAAAAATAAAACTGCCATGACATCAAGTTTCTATTACTCACCGCCTTCGAAAATAGAACAGGAATCAGGAAAACAGAAAACAAAAATAGAACAAAAGCCAACGCGAACATTAAAAAAGCCTAGCAGCAGCAGAAATATCAAACCATCACCAACATTAGATGTGCAAAGCATTTGCCACACCCCATTTTATTAATTTAGAGAAGTTACTAATAGTGTTGCAAACTATAAAGGAGGAACGACCGTACACATGATAAGCTAAGCCTGTTCCAAGTAAACTTGCACAAAATACCTCCTATATCATTGACAATTAAACCGTTCCTTGTCAACCCATTTCAAAACACTAAAATCTCAGGTGTATATTCCGCAACTGTTAAATTTAAAAAAATTCCCCTCATTCAATCGAAACGTTTCCTTGCACATGCAAAAAGAAACTTCCATCAAACCATGTTATGATGGTTGATGAGAATAATTCTTGGCATATTGATATTATACTAATACATGCGTAGCAGTGCTGATAAACTACATCCGGAGTAAGTTGTTTGGCAAAGCTTTTCTTATATAATCAGTGGGTCAACATCATTCTTATCCACACATTTCGTAAGACCTACGACATTTACCCACTTATTGTTCACATACTTCATAGGATCATAGCTTATAAGCACTACCAAACAAGCACATATGAATAGCTCCAGTACTAGAGGAAAGAACATCTAAACCAATTGGACCAAAACCAAAGTAACAATTTGCTTTCTTATAAGCTTGGTCCCACATATTGTGGACCAAAATCCATAACCCCAACTTATAAGCCAGACAAGTTGGGAATTTCAAGCTTATCTGACTTACAAGCCGTGTTTATGGATTTTGATCACAAATGCTCATTAGGAAGCAACTTATTTTTGCCAAACACGCTCATATAACCATCAAAGCGTACACAAAGAAAGCAATCTAAGTCAAATAGTTGCAAATTGGTCACCAATAGATGAAGCCAACTCATTCCAGAAGTACAATGACAAGATCAGACACCGGGATAATAGAATATAAACAACAGTTCAAGATAAAGCATACTATCAACCATCAAAAACTTCATAGGTTCTAAGAGAGTAGGATATAACCTCTGCTGTGTTCTCCTTAGGCTCAACATATGCTCTAGAGAACTGCAACAAAAAATTGAAGAAAAAAAGTATTTTCATATTGTCCCTGATTTATAAATTGTATTGGAGCGCAAAAAGAACACAACTTTTGCATTGAAATATCATGACACCCCAAAACTTACAGTGTTATGTTCAGAAGTTTGATTTATGGTCCCGTTGTCCGATACTGAAGCCCTGGGCGACGAGCCTTCCTCTGATCCTTCTCGCACTGGTGAAGGTGGCCGTGGGGGTGGAACATAGGCAACTCTCAACTTGCTTTCTTCAACACGATTCCCGGATTCTTTGTTGAACTGAAATCCGAATAGCATTTGTGAACCTTACCTCTTTTACTTGATAAAAACCAAATGGCACATGTAAACCTCACCATTTTTTACTTGATATTTTAAGACTCAATTATTCTATTCTATGTAAATGCTATATAACTATAATAGTACTATGTAATTACCATTGCAGGAGTAATGTCCTTCGTTATCTTTCCTGGGCTAACAACTGCAGCCTGAAGGAGGAACTTATCCCTGCATTGCATGTCTTCTGGAGCCTCCTTTTGTGCTTGCATTGTGACTGGACAAATATAGTAACTTAAAAATCAGCCATCAATACTATGCACACCAAACCTACACTCACCCAGTAAATTACATGCATTCCTTTTTCCTTTTCCAAACTGATTATAATTCAGCGAAAATGAAAATTAGTCAAGGATATAATCACAGAAAAGTATGCCAAAGAGATGAAGGGGAGAGAGGGAGAGAGAGAGAGAGAAGTAAAGACCAATGACATCACAAGTAGAGCGAGGCAACACCACTCCAGTATTCGGCCGCACACAATACTTCTTCGGATTCGTGGTCTTCACCTGATAATTCAAAAACATAAATATTAAAAATCAGATTTTGCCACTCTCCTGGGGTAGAAGCAAACAATGCCTACGTGTTGGTTCGAGTACATATAAGTGTGTGTATTTTAAATGAATTAAGTTTATACCTTGAAGGCGACAGAACTATCGGTTCTGTTGGTTAGTTGCATGGAACATGAAATCTGCTTCTTCAATTCAACTTTTCCAAAACGCAGAACAAACAAGTTTAATCAAAAAACCAAAATCAGGGAAAGAAAACAAAAACGCTGATCTAGGATAACGGAATCAAATTAAACCCCCAAAAAGGATTCTTCTAGAAGTTCGCATCAACAAAAGTCTAAAACAAAAATTAACAAAAATACACTGCTGTTTCACAGAGAGAGGTACAGAGAATTACATGGAAATTGAAGTTCTAGGGGTTCGATGCGGAGAAGCTCGCCGTTACTCATTTCTTACCGGATCGCCGAATTATTCGCCGGAAAATTGATTGTAGGAAAGTTCCCGGCAGAAATTGAGCGGATTTCCGGTGAGGAGATAGATTTAATTATGGCTTCACGCCAAAAGAGTAAGAAATTTTGAGATCTGAGGGTTCGAACTTATTGAAATTCTGGTTTGTAGAGAGAGAGAGAGAGAGTGAAGTAAGTAATAAGGTGGAAACTGTAAAGTGCAGAATATCACTGCTGGGTAAATTTGAAGGGAAAATTGAGTAAAATATTTGAATGGTCACTAAACTTTAATATGATCACGACTTACTCATTGAACTTTAAATTGTCTTTTAATGGTCACTGAACTTTCTGCCGTTGCACCACATCCATCACTCACCAAATTTCGTTACCATTGAAGCTGACGTGGCGGATGGAAAATACACGTGGCAGGTGACGGCCGTTAAAAAATGACAACTCAGCGGAAACATTGTTTCATTACTCATCCAACTTACATTTTGTCATATTTTACTCATTGAACTTCAAAATGCTGCCCAATGGTCACTCATCTTTGAAATGTTGCACTCTATTCATCATCCGCATATTTTGTTCCCTTCATTCCTAATGTTCGCACAAAAAATCCACGGATAAGTTACAAATGTTAAAAAAAATTGCAACTCAACAAAACTTAACTCACCAAAATTATCATATATGAAACGTGACTTCCAGGCCCCATCATCTTCTTTAAAACTAAATAAAGCGTCCCTAATTATTCTTTTAGAAAGATCATTTTTCTAATTCGAACGTTTGATATGCAAAAAAATAGGTTTCAATCTGATATTTCTAAAAAAATCATTGGAGACGCTTTATTGAAAAAATTATTTTTTTAGAAAAAACGATTCTTTTAGAAAAAATAATTTTGTTGTTATTTCTAAAAGTTGATGAGGCTGTAGAAGTCAAGTTTCTTATATGATAATTTTGGTGAGTTAAGTTTTGTTGAGTTGCAATTTTTTTTAACATTTGTAATTTAC